TGGCTGTTTTGCTCCCTGGCCTCACCTCCAGCTTCCTGCAACCACCCCGACCCTGAGATGTGATAATGAAGTCCTATAGGCTTCAGAAAGCCCTTTGTCTTTTTAATACCATACTTTCCCAGAAATCTTCTCTCTGCTTTTGCTTTGAGGGGCAACCTTGCCATTCTGTTAGGACTGCCTGAATATCAAGTCTTCTCTCCTCCCCTCCCTTGCCCCAAAGTAATTCTCGTGACTGGGTTGCTTGGCCCAGGGCACGGGCTGTGGGCTCAGGCATCAGGCGAGGGGTCCTGGTGACCTTGGGCTGGTTGATCTTGATGGGCCCCAGGGTCTTCTCAAGCTGGACAGTCCTCCATTCCTCAGAGCAGTGCTGGAAGGTTAAATCAGAGGAAACTTATGTGAAGGGCTTGCCTGGTGGGACTGTTTCTGCAGATGTTTGTAAGATGGCAACCTTGGTATTCTTTTGGTCCGAGATGAATGCCTGTCCATGCGGGAGGGGTCTCCTGCACCATGCTTTGAGACCAAAATCCACGCACGTTCAGGACTCAGCAACGTGGCTCCTATCATTTCTGCCAGAGTCTTCAGGTATAAATTGTAAAAGGTGTAAATCGGACAGTCCCACGAGTGGTCTGTTTGTTGGGGACACTGAATGTGCGCTCTGCCCAGGGCCCCCACCCCACCCCACCCCCGCCGAGTTGTGGGGCAGGTAGTGGAGACTCAGTCCGTGACCATTCCTGCAAAGCAGGGCGCCTGCTGGGAAGTCCTAGGTTCATTCTCACCCGCAAGAAGTGGCTTTCATGGCACACTTCTGCTTTTTACCATCTATCCAGGGGGGTGAGTAATGACCACTTCACAGAGCTATCGGATTAAACGAGGTGATTTGCACACGGCCCAATGCTGAGTAAGAGCTTGATAAACCAGAAACACAGGCGGCTACTGTTAATTCTTCCTAGGGCTGGTGTAAAGATGAAAGGATGGGCATGTGAGACAACGCTGCGAACCGCAGAGCTGACCAGTCGGAGCTGTTAGCTTGAGCTTGACCTTGAGCCCCACGGTGCTGTGAGAGGAACAGAAACAACAGAAAAGATGACGAAAGGGCCCTGGGAGGCTTTTCCTGCTTGTCTTGCAAAGCCAGGCCCTGAAGGAAATGACCACGGACCACCCCTTGTAAAGAGGGTCTCTGTGAAGAGGGAAGGATGCCCTTCTCGGTTATAAATCCCAGCTCCACAGGGAGGGGTGAGGACGCCACTCATGTGTCACTTCATGATCCCACCAGGACTTATCCCTGCTGGCCCGGGGAGTGAACCCCGCTTTTCCCGGCCCTGCTCAGCTTTGGAGATGACCTTTCTACACCTACACGCCGGCTTTCTTCCTGTGCCAGGCGGATGGCCCGCTGTACCAGCCAGATAGTCCTGCCTGGCGGTAGCTGGAGCCCTTCCTTCTCCCTGGGACTTGGCCCGCTGGGGTCCTGGGCTTCTGCTTCCAGGTCCTGACTCAATCACAGTTGTCACACTGAAAGATTTCTGCCCATTGAAAGATTTCTTTAAACTCCCTTAACCTGTTTCCAGACTTTGCTGAGGCCCTCTCTGAAGTACTTGTCCTTTTTCGTAGGCCTGGAGAATGTTTCGGGCTTGTGGGCCTAAAAGAAAGTTTTTCCAAAACTTATTTTTTATTTTTTAATCTTTTTAAAAGATTTTATTTATTTATTTGAGAGAGAGTGAATGTGAGAGAGAGCACAGGGGGAGGGATAGTTGTGGGGGAGGAGAAGCAGACTCCCCACATCTGAGTAAGGAGCCAAGATAGGAGACTCCTCCATGTGGGGCTTGATCCCAAGACCCTGAGACCATGACCTGAGCCGAAGGCAGAAGCTTAACCGACTGAGCCACCCAGGCATCCCTTTTCCAAATCTTGACTCCTATGGGTCAGAACCCCAGAAGAGAAGGAGAAGGCTGACTTCTCAGCCTGCGAATGACCCCACACTGACAGCCCCACTGTGCTGGGGGAGGCCTTACTTGCTGGAGGTTGTGAGCAGCGAACGCCGCTCCGTTCTTCCCCTGCTAGGTGAGGACCAATTCCTACGTGTTACCTGACCTGTTCTTCTCTCCTCCTTTCCAGCTTCTCTCTGGTTCTGGGACCCTCCCCGCCCCCACATACCTAGGCTTTTCGCTGTTCCCTTTCTCTTCCTGTTGAGACCTTACCCTTTTTGCTTTTGCCCCCAGCAATTCCCATCTTAGATGCATGCCCTTCTGCACGCTGGTGCTCCTCCTCTCTGCAAACTTGGCTGAGACACGCACTGGGGAGAGGACATTTATTCAGAATCCCAGTATAGTTGGTACCATCGTGGTAGTTTAACTGACTGTCCTTCTAACCTTGAATTGTTTCGAGAGGCATTTCCCAAAGCATTTTCCTTGGAACACCAGGTTGCCAAGATGTGCCTTCTTCTAGTGGAAAGTTCCCGAACACAGAGCATTGTGTGATCAGATGAGTCTGTGTTCTCTGTTTCCCAGCGGTAGGTTTCAGATGACCATATGAAGGCTCTGGAAAGTTCCACACTAAAGAAACCTGTTTATTTTGACTAGAACTCCTTGTAGCAGAGGCTGTCCCTCAAGCCTGTTCGTAAGGGCTCTTCTTACCTCAGGTCTTACTCTAGTTGGCTCTTTTTCGCAGAAAGCTCTTCCCTGTGTTGGTTCATATCCTTCTCTGTTATGTCCACACACACAGCCCAGCTCTTTCTGCTCTTCGGACACGTTTCTGGGAAGTTGAAATGCATCATGGGAGGACAGTGGCCTGTTTCCCAGGGCCAGATACTGCTGGTTCCTTTCACTCCCATCCTTGCACGAGGTCTTAAGTCCATTAACCTTCTTGGGTGCCCCCCACTGACTGGGCCCATATCCCGCAATGTGTGGGGCCGGCCTGGAGTGGAGAAAACTGTCACAGGGTGGGGAGGACTGTGGCTCCCTTCCTTCAGGATTTGGGATCTTGGGAACACAGCTGCTACATTAGGAAATACCCAGCAGGGGGAGGCGACATCTACTGAGTGCTAGATGACTGACAATGGGGCTATTGGCTCTCAGAGAAGGAAGGGGGCAGCTCCCTGAGCTTGGGGTACAGAAAGGCCACTGAGGACCGCCGGGTGGTGGGATGTCCATTCAGGGTGGGAGGAATGGCATGAGTCGGCTGCTGAGGCTGGAACAGAGCACGCTGAGGAGTTCTGGGCCTCAAAATTCCACCAGCCCTCCAGCTTCGATTTCTGATTGCCCACAGGCTGCATTCCTTGGTGGGTGGTGGTGTGGCTGCCAACAATGGTGGGCTTTTGTTGTTGGGAGGGTGGGGTGGGGGCTATAGATAGTGAAGGAGCTGGATTGGTTTCTCTCTTTTTACTGTGGGGAAAATACATGTAAAATTTGCTGCCTTGACTGTGTAGGTGGGCCGTTTGGTATACATTCACCCCCTTGTTTGACCATCACTGCATCTTTCTCTGAACCTTTTTCTCATCCCACACTGAAATTCTAACCCACGAAACAGTCACTCCCCCAGGTCTGGATAGCCACTGTTTTCTACTTTTTGTCTCTGCTTTGACTTTCTTGGTCCCTCACGGTTACAGAGTATTTATCCTTTTCTGTCTGGCTTATCTCAGGCCTGCCTTAATGTTGCCAGGGTTCCTCCCCGAGGTAGTGTGTGTCAGATTTTCCCTCCTTTTTATCATGAATAATATCCTCTTGTAAAAATATACCATATTATGGATATACTGCATTTTGTTTATCCGTTCATCAAAAATGGACACCTGGGTTGTTTCCCCCTTTTGGCTACTATGAACTGATTTGCTTTTTAATGCAAGGTGTTCTTACCTGGAGAGCAAGGGATCCCTGAGGAGCAGAAAATGGGAAGGACTTGAAGGGAGAAGGGGAAGGAGGTTCTGTGAGAAAACCTTGTCACAGCCCAGGTGTGTGGAGAAGTAAGGGGTGGACAGTTTGGCAGAAAGCAGAGAAGAGAAGGCTGAAGAAGGTTCCCCTCAGCTCAGGCACCAAGGGGTAGAGGGCAGGGCCAGGATCCCCCCACTGTGGTGAGGCTGGGTTTGTTTCCAGGCAGGGGGCACTAGAGGGACACCCAACAGAGATGCTGGCTTTGTGGTAAAATCCAGGCAACGGGGCAGAGCCTGGTCCCCTCTCGGAAGTCACTTGCACAGATGTGACCGTTTGGACCTGGAGGCTAGATGAGCGTGACGGGGTCAAGCATAAAACCGAAGAGCTGGAGCCAGGATAGCCACATGCAAGGGTGGGGACCAGCTTCCACAGGCAGGAGACCAGAAGGATGAACAGAGAAGGGCGTCTGTGTGGCTCAGTTGGGTGGGTGTCTTACTCCATTTCGGTTCAGGTCATGATCTAGGGGTCCTGGGATCGAGCCCCGGGGGGGGGGTCCCTGCTCAGCATGGAGTCCGCTTCTCTGACTCCTTGTGCTCCTCCCCCTGCTCCCTCCTGTGCTTGCTCTCTTTCTCGCTCTCAAATAAATAAATAAATGGGACCCAACGGGCAGCTTTTGGAATTGCCCTCTGGGAGAATGTCGGGGATGCCCAGGCTCGCTCTGCGACTTGTTGCCCAGCCTCGGGAGGTTTGGTCAGTGTTTGCTGACCAAAACTGGGGGACATAAAGGTAAGTGGGCATGTTTTTCATCCTCAAGAAACTTACAGCCTCATTGAGGGGATAAAGGACATAACGACAACCGTGTGGAACAAGATCCCCTTTGAATCATGTTGTGCAGTGCCCAAAGGCGTTTCAAGAAGGGGGTTCCTTCTGATCCTGTGACCCGGGTGGGCACGGCCAAGCAGCAGGTGACTGCATTATTTTCCAGTAAACGTGGCCAAAAGAATTAGGTGTCCTATGACCAAGTGTCCTGTCATCCTGTGTCCTATGATCAAGTGTCCCGTGATCCTAGCCATGGTGGTCCCTGTCCTGTGATCCTAGCCATGGTGGTCCCTTGTTAGCATCCTTCCTTTGCCCCTGCAGGTATGATGCTGGACGGGATGGCTTCATTGACCTGATGGAGCTGAAGCTGATGATGGAGAAGCTGGGTGCTCCCCAGACCCACCTGGGCCTGAAAAATATGATCAAGGAGGTGGACGAGGACTTCGATGGCCAGCTCAGCTTCCGCGAGGTACCCTTTGGCCCTGAGCCCCTGTGCGGAGAGCCCCTGAGAGGAGCCCCACAGTTAGGGGCCCCTGGAGCACAAGTAGCTTTAGCCTCTCCAGAGTACTGATTGGACAGTCAACCTAGAGTTCTTTTAAAGATCTCTTTAAGAAGCTCGTGAAGCGTGATTCGTGGGGAGAATGGTCGGTGAGCAAATAGAAAGTCACTGTGCATAGGACAACCTCCTTTGGGCGAATGTTTGGGTGTTGAGAAATTCTAGAAGGATGTTTACCAAATAGTGGATATGTGTGCAAAGTTTTGGTAGATTTATAATTTCATACTTTCTTAGATATTAAAACTTTAAATTTTTACAATAAGCTACTTAAAGATGATCAAAAAGCAATTAAACGAAGGCTCTTACTCCGTGCTCCTGGAGCTCCCTGTGTCCCCATAACAGTCCAAGAATGGGCTTTTCGGCCTTAGAATCCCTGAAATTGCAGGCAAAATTTCCACGTACAGATCTCTCTGGAAGAGTACAAGTAGATTCAACGTCTGATCTCTAAATGTGTGAGAACTTTGGTGATAAGGCCGTTTCTGGCTGCGGGGAGAGTCTCAAGGACACTGGGTTTCTTCCAAGGCAGGGATGCAGCCCCTCAAGGAAGGGTTCCATGTCTTATGTGCTTGAGTCTTACTGTGAAGCCTCCAGTCGTGTCTGTGTGCGCTGGTGTCAGAACAGGTTTGGGGACAACATCCGGGCTCGAAGCTCCGAGCATTAGCAGTCCCATTCTGTCCTATCTCAGCGGGGCCCTCCGGGTCTGGGACTAGAGAGCCCTGTCCTTGTTTCCCGGTGTGTGACCTTGGTTACTCCAGAAACACTGGAGTTCCAGCATCCTGGTTCCTGATGGTGAGAGCTTTGCCCAAGTACAGGTTTTCTCTCCAGGCTCACTAGGGCCCATGGACGTTCTTCCTAAGGTCCCCGGGGCTGAACCAGCAGCAGTGAGTCCCCTCCTCAGCTGTGGTGAAACCAGCCTGGCCTCTCCCTGCCCACAGATCAGCTCCAGATCCGCCCCTTCTCTTCCTTTCCTGAACTGGCAGATGCAGAAATAGGAGATCCCAGAAAACCTGTGTTGGGCATAACCCTCAGGATATTCTAGGCCAGGCTTCTCGTTCCAGAGCTAAGGAGCTAGAGGGCCAACACGGTCAGGACTTAGCGTGAAATCACGTTCCAGCTCAAGGCTGGACTTGAGCGGCAGGCTCGGTGCCCATAGCCTCCCCTCGTCAGCTGCCGTTCTCGCCTCCACAGCTGTCCCTCTGGCTCCCCCGCCTCTCATTCGTGCTGGGCGCTGGCTCCTTCAGCCCAGCTGTCCCCGGGGTAGAGAAGGTAAAAGCTCTCCCGTGGGTGAAGCTTTGGAGGCAACACCAGGGAAAGAGCGTCTGTGGCACATTGTGACCTGGGGGGAACAGAAATCGAGAAGGTATTGAGAGAGCTGTGCAGGTCACCGGCCAAGCAAAGACACAGTCCTAGGAGCCACCCAGACACACTCCCTACCAAATCCAAGATGCTTGGTTTGCTTTTCTTAGCTGCATGTTTGGCCATTTCCCACAGAAATGCCCACAGGTGGACATCAGAGGTTTGGAAATCTCTGAAGTATTCCTGTTACCCGCATTTCAAAGCCTCAGTGACATTCCTGTCAGTCCTTTGTTGCTCTGAGTCCCATTGTGGTCCCATCTCTAGCAGTTGTGCCCAGAGGGGCAGGATTTGGAGGTGGGGATATGTTTGCTGTAAATACTCACAGCCCAACCTCCTGGTTTTTTGGTGTTTTTTTTTTCTTTTCTTTTCTTTTTTTTTTCAAATTTTATTTTTAAATAATTTCTACACCCAACATTGGGCCTGAACTTACAACTCCAAGATCAAGAGTTATACATTCTTACCAGTGGAGCCAACCAGGCGGTCCATTCTGCTGATTCCCACCAGTATTGGGAGCCGCTGGCGTGCTGGTACTTTGGTTATGTAATGACAAGAGGCTTCTAGTCAGAGCTCAGTCTCCACACAGAGCTGCATACCTTGAGCAAGTTATTTTACTTCTGGGCCTCCATTTTTCTGTCTTTAAAATAGGGGTGTTGGGATGCCTGGGTGGCTCCGTCGGTTAAGTATCTGCCTTAAGCTCAGATCTTGATCCCAGGGTCCTGGGATTGAGCCCTGTGTCAGGCTTCCTGCTCAGCAGGGAGTCTGCTTCTCCATCTGTCTGCTGCTCCCCTTGCTTGTGTGCTCTCGCGCACTCTCTCGCTCTCTCTTTCTCTGACAAATAAATAAAATCTTAAAAAAAAAAATGCAAGTGTTAAAGGGCATCTGGATGGTTCAGTCGATTAAGCTTCCAACTCTTGATTTCAGCCCAGGTCATGATCTCAGGGTCATGGGATGGAGCCCCATATCTGGCTCTGTACTCAGTGGGCAGTCTGCTTGAGATTCTCTCTCTCCCTCTCCCTCTGCTCCCACTGTCTGTCCGTCTCTCTCTAAATAAATAAACTCTAAAAAAATATAGCCGTGTTAATAGCTTTCCCTCAGGACTGTTGTGAGAACGGAGTTCTCTCTCCATGCTGGAATCAGTTGGAACTCCTGATGACCAGTGACAGAGAATGCCAGCTCATTTACACAGGAAAAGAACAAACAAAAACTCTCAGCTCCCGTAGACAGGAGATGAAGTGGAGGTGCATTGGGCACAGTAGTGCAGCATATTTCTCTGGTCAGAGCTCAACCATGCTTTCTTCTATGTCCACCTCACCTTTTCTTTCCACATCGCATGTTCTTCCTGATGCCTGCCAAGATGGCCTCCAGCAGCTGCAGGTTCCATTGTCCCAGGTTAGCAGCCGTGGGGGCCTGAACCGGCCTCAGCTGGCCTCTGAATGCTGCTACTGGGGACGTGTCCCCACCTCCTGGACCAGTCATTGCAATCAGGGGACTGTGACTGGCTGGGTCCCTGTCATGCCCCACAGGGCATCATAGCCAACAGTCCCACCATCAACATCATGTGGGGGCCAGGTTGCCAGATAGACAAAATTGCTTACTTCTATAGTTCTTTCCTCACAACCTGGCATTTAGTAGGCCCTTAATGAATGCTTCTGTTCTCTTTATTTCTCTTTGGATTAACTTGACCAAAGCAAGTCACATCCACATCCCCGCTAAGCAGGAAGCCCGATTCGAGGCTTGATGCCAGGACCCTGGGATCATGACCCGAGCTGAAGGCAGAGGCTTAACTGACTGAGCTACACAGGTGCCCCTCCATTATATCTCTCTTAAAGAAAAATTGCTCCGGGGTGCCTGGGTGGCCTAGTAGGTTAAGCCTCTGCCTTCAGCTTAGGTCACGGTCTCAGGGTTCTGGGATCGAGCCCCACATGGGGCTCTCTGCTCAGCAGGGAGCCTGCTTCCCCCTCTCTCTCTGCCTGCCTCTCTGCCTACTTGTGATCTCTCTCTGTCAAATAAATAAATAAAATCTTAAAAAAAAGAAAGAAAGAAAAATTGCTCCAAGGCCAGATGCGCGGTAGTTTTGTACAAAGGTTGGGTGATGGGTTTACTGGATACCTGTCTGTACTGGGAATTATGGGTTCCAGTCTCTCCTTCTACCCTACCTTCCTTTGGGTGGGGCCCTGGCTGGTGTTAGGGTTGCTCATCAGCGTCATTGTTGATTGGACCATGGATGGACCCCTGGCGGGACTAGGTCCGCTAGATTCCCTGTCCTGGGAATTTGAAATTGGGGTGAAGTACTGCAAATTGGTTCTGCAGCTGACTGTTCCTTCAAGAATAAGTCAACATTTTTATATAACAAAATCCTCCTCTTTGCTTAAGCCAACGAGTTTGTTTCTGTCACTTGTGATCTTAGAGTGCCGATTCAGGGCAAATGTTTGCATTACCGGTCCGGGCCATGAAATTACGTTTTTCTTTTTTTTAAATTTAGGGGTGCCTGCATGCGACTCTTGATCTTGGGGTCATGAATTTGAGCCCCATGTTAAGAATAGCACTTACTTAAAAAAGAAATTAAATTTAGACATTCTTTAAATTTATCAGATGTGTTTGTTAGCTTGTGCCTGAAATTACTGTTTTAGCCTTGTTAGTTCTCTCTCTCTGGTTCTTTGTTTTCTGCTTCTTCTCTCCCCCCTCCCTGCTTTGCTCATAGTCACAACTAGGACACTTTCCAATTCCCCACAACATACCAGTCTTTGTAGACTATAAATAGGAAGACAAACAAGGCTGGGCAGTCAGAGAAATTGTCATTCAGGAGTTGGTGATTACAATAAAATCAAATGGGAATGCCTGGCATGCTTTTCTGGAAGGCTGAACATGTACAGGTTGAGCTGGATTTTTCTTTTTTTTACTTTCTTTAACTGGCTGGCGTCAGGACCCCTAAATTAAGACAGGGCTGCTTTGGTCCTCCGTGAGCGGGCAGAGTGAAAGTGAGCACACGTGGAGAAAAAGATCCATGAGGAATACTTTAAGCTGCCTGTAAATACCACATACACTGTAGATGTGAGAAAAATGAATCTCAGGGATAAGGACACACTGCCCCGCCCCCCACCAAGGTCACTTGGATTTTTGCTAAGCTGGGGCCATTCTCCATCTTTTTTTTTAAAGATTTCATTTATTTGACAGAGGGAGAGACAGCAAGAGCGGGAACACAAGCAGGGGGAGAAGCAGGCTTCCCACAGAGCAGGGAGCCTGATGCGGGGCTTGATCCGAGGACCCTGGGATCATGACCTGAATCAAATGCAGATACTTAATGACTGAGTAATGACTGAGCCACCTAGGGACCCCCATTCTCCATCTTTCTAGAGCTGCCTTCCCAGTGTGGAGGGGCTGCCTATTTTGTATTTGCCTCGTGGAGCAAGGGAGGGATGGGGGAGATGTTTCTGTAAGCTGTAAATATTTTAAGGGTGGGCAGGGTCCCAAGGGACAGGTTTTCACTCCTTCCCTCTGCAGATGGCTCACATTTCCATTGCTGACATTTTGGCTACTGCCTTCTCTTCATGAGAGCCCGACTACAACCATCCCCCTGTAGCCCCCTTGCCCTCCATCCTGTTCTTGGGAGTCTCCCCTCCGAAGGGCTCGTTTCCCAACACTTAAGAGCCCATATTCTGGCTCCAATAGTCTGCAGCAAACTGAGTCTTTGCCGGCCTCTAGTGAGGAAGTTTGAAGCTGCAGGTGGACAAACCCGTGGCATTTCTGTGGAGCCAAGTGGCCCACTGCAGCCTTCGCAAAGCTACATATTGGAGAATCCTACTTCATCCCTTGCTTCGCAAGAATTACAAAGACAGGCTTATCCGCATGACATTTTGGGGTTAGTGGTGGTAGAGGCTGAGACTTCCATTTAACGAAACACACTTCCCTCTAGGGACTAAGAGTCTTGGCAGGAAAACACACCCAAGCTGGAATTTGGAAAGCCCGTTGGAGTTGTTTGCCCCCTCAGTCTACTTTAGATAATGTCCTTTTCCCTTGGGGAAACCATTTTTTAGAGGGGATGGTCATGGAGGAAAAAAAAAAAAAAACTCCTGAAACCTCAAAACTCCCCTGGAGACCCATGTGTTTTACATAGCACCGAAAACCTGGAAAGGCCTCTTTCAGTGCTGACTTGGAAAAAAACAATTATAGAAGTTTGGACAATGGTTATTTGACAAATAAATTCACCAAAATTCTTTAGAGAAGTAAAAGTCTAAAATCATCTTGGGGAAGGGCTGGAAGATGGGAGACTTGCCTTTTCAGTCTCGCTTATTTATTTAAAAATGTGTCCTGTGGCAGGGGTAGGGGGATATATCCTGGGTAGGCTTTTTAGAACAAATTGGCTTTAAAGATGAATGCATTCAGGTCACAATTTGGAATCTGGAGGAAGAGGATGGATTATTCCATAAATGGTGTGGAGATCGCTAACTAACCATTTGGAAGAAAATAGGGTTAATGATCAACCTCCCAGGATCAGAATAAATTTCAAAGATTAAATATTTACACGTTTAACAAAAAAGGAGTCATAAAAGCAAGAGACAAAAACATAGGTGATTGTTTCTGTAACCTTGGTGGCAAGAAAGGTTGTTCTCAGCATAACACTGGTATGCCTGTGAGAGAGAAAAAAAGACTGATAAATTATATAAAATTTTTAGAAGTCAAAAATGATCATAAACACAATGAAAAGGTAAGTGATAGCTCAAGTATTTGAAACATACCAGTTTCTGTAAAGATCTCTTAGAAAACACTTGGGAGGGGCACCTGGCTGCCTTAGTCGGTGGAGCATATGACTCTTGATCTCAGGGTGGTGAGTTCGAACCCCACACTGGATGTAGACATTACTTACAAAATAAAATCTTGAAAAGAAAAAAAAAAAAATAGGGGCACCTGGGTGGTTCCATGGGTGAAAGCCTCTGCCTTTGGCTCAGGTCATGACCTCAGGGTCCTGGAATTGAGCCCCACATCAGGCTCTCTGCTCCTGGGGGAGTCTGCTTCCTCCTCTCTCTCTCTGCCTGCCTCTCTGCCTACTTGTGATCTCTGTCTGTCAAGTAAATAAATAAAATCTTTTAAAAAAAGAAAAAGAAAAAAAATAGAGAACACTAGCAAAAGCAAACAATCTAATTGGTCCCACGCACGTATTGACACCCTTTCTCGTAGGCTTGGCAATCATGCCTTTCCCCTGGGCTGGAGGGGATCACTGTAAGTCTTCGTGAGGTTGACCTGGATTCTGATCAACCCTTTCCTGCAGTTCCTGCTCGTATTCCACAAGGCTGCGGCTGGGGAGCTGGAGGAGGACAGCGGGCTGATGGCGCTGGCCAAGCTCTCTGAGATCGATGTGGCCCAGGAGGGCGTCAAAGGTGCCAAGCACTTCTTTGAAGCCAAGGTGGGTGTTTCCTTCTTGTGCAGGACGGTCCTCCATCCCTTCACCCTGCCCGACCCGAGCTCCCAGTCAGTGATTGCTTCATTCGCTCGCCCAGGACAAGCAGAACAACAGTAGCTTAAGTGTGTATCGTGTGTGATTGAAGGGGAACGAGTGTGTCTGCGTGCAGTCTGAAAACGAAAAGCAAAATGGAAAAACAATCAGATGGCACATGCGTTCCATTCTGGTTTCTGATTCAAATGGGTTTGCTGATACAAGGTTCCCGATCGAGTCTGGATCCAGACCTCCCAGAAGAACTCCTGTCTGCCCTGAGCTGCAGTTGAATTACTGGAGCAATTTCCTGAACCTTTACGTCTTAAGTGCCTGTGTGTGAACGAGCAAACAGTGGGGCCAGAGGAGGGAGCCCCGGTGGCCTGCCCCCTGCCCCAGTTTGAACCAGTATTTGCTCCACTGACAGTGATACAGGGGTTGGGAAGCAGTCTCCAGTGCATGGCTCCAGAGCCTTTCTGGCTGCTTCCAGTCATTCACACGTTCATCCCGTCATCAGCCACTTACAGAGAGCCTACCCCTGGCTGGGCGCTGTCATTTTCATTTCCCCAGAGCATACCTGCAGAAAGAGAAATCAGAGAGCCTTCCAAATCTCCAGTCAGCCAGAATGGTGCAGTGGGGAGGGCTGCCTGGGGTCAGGTCCTGCCTCCTCCACTGACCCGTTTACCACTCTGTGCCTCAGTTTTCTCATCTGTACAGTGGAGGCGATAACAGGATGACCATGAGGATTAAATGAGCTCACATATAGAAAGTGTTTAGGGGCACCTGGGTGGCTCAGTCGGTTAGGCATCTGCCTTTGGCTGGGGTCATGATCCCAGCATCCTGGGATCGAGCCCCAGGTCAGGCTCTCTGCTCAGTGGGAAGTCTGCTTCTCCCTCTCCTTTTGTAACTCTCCGTGTTCACACTCACTTTCTCCCTCAAATAAATCAAATCTTAAAAAGTGTTTAGCAAGTGCCTGGCTCACTGTGAGCACTGGGTATGTGATAGGAGCTGTTGGGACTCCCTCCCATCCCAGATGGAAGCCAGCCTCTTGGGGAGTGATGGCTTATTCCAGGAGCTTGCCCAGAAACGCAGTGTCCCTGGCAACCATCCTGGCCATGCTCAACCCCGAGTAGGACTGGCTCCTTGCATCCCGTGATGCTGCTTGGAGACAGGGTCAGTCATCATTCTGCCAGTATGCAGACTGTGAATCATGGTGAACCCCTGACACCTGAGTTCCTCCTGCTATCATCTGAGGACTTGGGATAGGCCAGCCACTCATGGCATCTTCAATGCCAGCATTCTGTGTCCAATCCTGAAAGTGGTTTGGCCCTTCCTTCATGACTTAGCATTGATTCAACACAGCCCTGGGGATGCCAGGCACAGTAAACTCTGGAAATACAGCTCCTTCACAAGGAGCTAGTAGACAGAACTTTTGCCTTCCCCAGGACAGCGCACATAGTCTCATGAGGAAAACAAACTCTCAGCCTTGAAAGAGAGGGAATAGAGAGGAGGGATAGATGGGTTCTGGAAGGATGGATCCTCTCTAGTCATCGCCCGATAAGCCAACACTTGGAGATCTTTGGGTGATGGCCATGGGCAGGGGTCTGACATTGAGACCCAAGTTTAGCATGACACTTTTTGGGCCACTGCTGCAGCTCAGCAAACCGTGCTCTTGTTAAAAGTCTGCACGAAGTCTCTGGAAACCATGAAGGATCTTATGACCTGACTCTGATCCTTGTTCTGGCCTTCCTCGCCGCCCAAGCATATTTCTTCAGTGCTGCCATGCCTTTTCACCCCTGGGGCCTAGTGCCTGCTGCTTCATTTCTCTGAAATACCCAACCCAAAGGCCCATTTCTAGAAAACTCTATTCCTTTCATGTTAAAGTGTGGAAGGAGCAGAATTTGGCTGCTTTTCTTGAGAAAGTCTACCCTCTTCTGTGTGCCTCTACTACGAATAGAAGTGGTACTACAATTTATCTGTTCAAGGGGTGCCTGGGTGGCTCAGGCGGTTAAGTGTCTGACTCTTGAGTTCTCCTCAGGTCCTGATAGGCATGGAGCCTGCTTGAGATCCTCTCTCTCCCCTTCCCTCTGCTCCTCCCCTATTCTCAGACATTTTTGGTGAGAGTGTAGAAATGGTCCCAGCTTTACGGACAGCAGTTTGGGGCTGGCTGTGAATGCTTTGTATCATTTATTTCTGGGATTCTGCCCCTAGGATTCTATCCCTTAGAGGCACTCATGTAAATAAACGTAGATGTGTCACAGGGATTTTATACAGCATCAATAGAGAAAAGTTGGAATCAACCAAAGCTTCCATTATCAGGGAATCGAGTCCCTGGTGGCACGCCCGCCCATTTGCACACTCTGAGTGTGGACAGATGTACGAAACAAAGGAAGCAGAACATTATGTTTACAACCCAATTTTGTTAAATACTAAATCCAACCTGGCTAATTACATATCTGAGTATTAGTAATAGCTATGACTGACTAAGGGACTGCTTTTTTATATTTTTGGAATGTTTTATAAGGTGCGTGCACAATTTTTATAAAGAAGAGAAAAGATGAAAAGAATAGCAATGAAATGTTTTGAACTTGTCTGTCTGCCTCCGCAACCCAGACTCAAAGGCAGAATGGGTGTGTTATCTTTGTAATTACAGACCTGGCATGTAATGGCCCTCAATAAATGTTTGCATGAATGACGAGTCCAGGGAATCATCACTCAGATTTGGGAGAGGGCCATAGAGGAGCTGACATTGGCGACAGATGTTAAGAGATGAATGGGGATTCACCTTGTAATCAAGGAGGGGAAGGCGTTCCTGCCGTGGGAACACAAGCACAAAGGCTCCAAGGCATGGAGGGTAACGAATGTTGGGAGGCTGGCCCCCAGTCCATACCGGATCCAGGTGCACGGAGAGCTCTGGTCTCCCCTGAAGGTCAGGCCTCTCCAGCCTGCTGACCACCAGAAAAATCTGCAGACCAGCTTCTCGGGTCTCCTCCCCTCCCGCCCCCCAAGACCTACTTGGGATTTCCCAGGGTAGGGCCCGGAAAACGTGGAGCATAATGGGCTCTGCGCAGCCTTGCCAGGGAACCATGGTGGCAGGTGTGGGGGGCCCTCCGGGGGCCTCTGCCTGACCAGTGCTGGGCACTGGGGAGAGGCTGGAGTCAGGGAGGCTTCCACAGATGTCCAGAGAAATGTAGGTCCGTTGAGGGTAGCGAGTGGGGCTGGGGAGGATCCCAAAGAACTAGCAGTCTCAGTATGTATGAGTGCGTGCTGGGAGGTGAATAGTAAGATGTTCCACCAGGGGGCGCCTGGGTGGCTCAGTGGGTTAAAGCCTCTGCCTTTGGCTCAGGTCATGATCTCGGGGTCCTGGAATCGATCCCCGCATTGGGCCCCCTGCTCAACGGGAAGCCTCCTTCCCCCCTCTCTCTCCACCTACGTCTTTGCCTACTTGTGATCTCTCTCTTTCTCTCTGTCAAATAAATAAAATATTTAAAAAAATATTCCTCCAGAATGAGGCTTGTGGAGCTGTGTAGAGAGGGGTTGATGATATTTTAAAAATAGAGACAGGGACACACCCCTCCTGTGGGAGTGGTTTGAGGAAGGGGATGGCAGGCACTTTGATTTGAAGGACACCGTGGGGGCGCCTGCCTGGCTCAGTAAGAAGATCATGTGACTTTTGATTTCAGGGTCATCAATTGGAGCCCCATGTTGGTGTAGAGATCGCTTAAATAAATTTAAAAAAGAAGAAAATGGAGGGCACAGTGTTTGGTAGAGTCTCATTCGTGTCCTGTGGGACGGAACTTGGTCACACCTGCATAGGAGAGTCCAAAATGCCTTTCTTCCTGGGAACCCACGTGTCTGATTATAATTCTGCTGCTAGGAAGAATGGGGATGTTAGATATTGAGGGTCGTGGAGTGATCTTTTCACGCATGTCCGTTGCCAAACCGAGCACTGACAAGAGCTGGGATACCATTACCCTGACTGGGCTTTCTTCTGGAGTCAGGGTGGGGTCCGTCTCCACAGACCCTTAGGGCATGCGCCTCCTTGGAGGAGGAGAGAAGGGGGAAATGAACACTTCACGGACCACACAGACAAGGGGAGACGACCACACAGACAAGGGGAGACGCCTTCACAAGATCCAAGTACCACCTTGAGAATTAGAGGAGACTGTGGGGAAGGAAGTGAGCAGAGATAAGGAAACCCAGGAAAAAAATGCCATTTTGGAGGACAGGAGCACTTTCAGGAAGAGGTGAAGTCAGATGAGGCGGGGGGGGGGGGTGGCTCTGGCAAGTGGGTCATTGGAGACTTTTGAGAGAGCAGGTTCCTTGGTGGAGGGCAGATAGCAGTAGGATAAAAGGTGAGTGGGAACTGGGGAGAAACAGCTTGACTTTTCTGTGTAGACGGCTGGCAGAGGAGGTCTAGACAAAGTGGGAATGGTAGCTTGGAATCAGAGAAGAACTTTTTTTTTGTTTTTGTTTTTAACCTAGAGTAGACAGATGCTTTTAGAACCCAGGGAAGTGGTTCCCAGAGAAGGAAACATGATGAAGACACAGAGTGGGGTGATTGGCGAGACAGCACTCACAGACCATAGAATCAAGGAGACTTTTTAAAAAAAATATTTTATTTATTTATTTGCCAAAGAGAGAGCACAAGCAGAGGGAGAGCAGCAGGCAGAGGGAGAAGCAGGCTCCCTGCTGAGCAGGGAGGCTGATGCGGGGCTTGAATCCAGGACTCTGAGATCATGACCTGAGCTAAAGGCGGATGCTTAACAACTGAGCCACCTAGGCATCCCAACTTTTTTTTTTTTAAAGATTGTATTTATTTGAGAGGGAAAGTGAGAGAGCACAAGCAAGGGGAGGGGCAGAGGGAGAGGGAGAGGGAGAAGCAAACTCCCCGTGCTAATAAGCAGGGCTCAAATCTAGGACCCTGAGATCATGACCTGAGCTGAAGGCAGATGCTTAACTGACTGAGACACCCAGGCACCCCAAGAGGTAGCTTTTATAGTGGAGAACAAGGACCCCAAGTGAGGGAGTTGCAAAGGCCCCTCCCCCTCTGACCTAGCCAGCAGTAGTGGGCAGGTGGACCTTAGGTTCATGTCTTATCTAACATGGGAGGGGGAGAGGTGGTGGCATCCCACTCTGCAGATGAGAACACTGAGGCTTAGACAGTGACAGTGGTTTGTTGGTGAATGTTTAGCAACTGGCTTTCTGAACAGAGTATGCATATACATAAATCCATATGTTTTTATAAATTTTAATGATATAAAGGATAGATAGCACACAATTTGCAAATAATAAAGTGTACACTACTTTTATTATAAATTCCACATGGTCTGTTGATTATCAAAGAATGGTTCCTTAATTTTTTCTGGGCTCTGTATCTGTTGCCAGCCTACGGTTGCAACTGACAGAAGAATCTAGGTCCAACATGAGTATTGGTTGATACTTTAACTTAATTCATAAGAAAAAATGAATGAAACTCAATTTCATTCATTCCTCAATGATGTGAGCAACTTTTTTGCTGAATTTTAAAAAAGATTTTATTTACTTATTTGAGAGAGAGAAGAGAGAGCTCATGGGTTGGGGGAGCAGAGGGAGAGGGAGAAGCAGGCTCCCCACTGAGCAGGGAGCCCCATGTAGGCTCCACCCCAGGACCCTGGGATCATGACCTGAGCCAAAGGCAGATGCTTACCACCTAAGCCACCCAGGTGCCCCCCTTGCCAAATTTGGTAATAGTTTTCAAGTACTAGAAAAATATTCCGTAAAATTCTTTGGAGCTGTTCATAGTATAAAGGCTACAGATAATACACATTTTTTAGCTTAATCTACATTTTTAACATTCCCATTACTTTCTTAAGGAAAGATTGTGAATGAAATAATAAATCAAACCCTGCTTTGTAGCACTTTGTTGGGTTCCAAGGTGTAAATACCCCTGGGGGGGGGTTGCTTTCAAGCTTCCAACAAGATGTTGCCAAAGGTGGATTTGTAATTAGCATCATCCAGTAAGTTTTCCACCTTAGAGCTGGAACATAAACAGACAACCTCCAAAACAGCGTAAAATGTAGCAAGATGGTTAGGAAGCAATGACTTTGTAATATGTATTTCTCTTTTTTCTAATCTAATTATAGATTTATATAATTTAACTTCTAGTATTTTTTTTAACTTTTAATACTTAATAGCCAGCTCGTAAAATTCCTGAAAACCAAACAAGGAAAAAATAAATAAATAAAGGTGAAGGAGGAGAGGTATCGGAGCTAGACAAAGGGACCCGAGGTCCAAGTTTTAAGCCTGAATCCAGGAACAGTGGTTAACGAGAGTCAGCGTGAGCTGAGCTCTACTGTAGGCAATTAAATCTGTCTTCTAGTGACTCCAGTGTAGGGAGCTGGAAGAGACAGAGCAGGGCCTCAAGTGCTTACGAAATACCTGGGAAATTTGGAAAACATAATTTCCTAGTCCCTATCCCTATGCGGTTGGTACTTTCAGAGGTATCCTGTGTTCAGACACAGACCCCTGTGCAGTGCAGGGAGAATGTAGGAAGGGATGTTACTGTTTTTCATTGAGATGTGAGAGTCTGCATTGTGTCACCAAGGAGGTAATGGATTGAAAACCAGAAAGGATAGGATAAAGAGCATTGTTGGAAATAGGTAAATCTCAGCTGCATTGGCAGAGAAGTAGAACATACAAGAAGACACCCAAACATCAAAGCTCATGATGGAGAAAAGATGGTGGACCCAGGAACATGCTAGTTAAAAATAGTGAGAGATCTGGGTGCCCCGCTGGCTCAGTCAGTAGAATATGGAACTGTAGGTTACAGGGATCAAGCCCATGTTGGCCTTGGAGCCTTCCTAAAATTAAAAAAAAAAAAAAAAAGTGAGTGGTTAGGACACATTGATTTAAAATCATTAAACATTCAATGAAAGGGAATGCTTTTTTTTTTTTTAATAAATTTGAGATAATATGTGGACAATGTGATGAATTGTAAAAACATTTAGTAGGTTGACTCCCCCGACCCCCCCCCAAAAAAAAACCCAGTTAAGTGCTGGGAATTTAGGGATTAATTCTTCAATGTTACACGTTCTTTTCAATGTCACAAACTAGTTAAAACATACTGAGAAAGATTGCCTCATATTCATTTTCTAAAGCCATCATGATTCTGATAACATCAGATAAAAACACATCAGAAAGAATATTAATGTAATGGATATAGCTGTGGGGACCTTAATACATTTGAAGTTTATGTTAAGACTGCAGGGATAAGTTTTAAAAATGTCATCGGTATCAAATATGAAAAATGTGATCATTTTCAGTGAAACATTTCAAAACATTTGGTAAGCTTAATATTCATTGGGCACCTGGGTGGCTCAGTGGGTTAAGCCTCTGCCTTCGGCTCAGGTCATGATCTCAGGGTCCTGGGATTGACCCCTGCATTGGTGGGGGGGGGGGGCCCCTGCTCAGCAGGGAGCCTGCTTCCCAACCCCCTCCCCCGCCCCCCCCGCCCCTGCCTGGCTCTGCCTACTTGTGATCTCTCTCTTTGTCTTGTCAAATAAATAAACAAAATCTTTTAAAAAAAATACTCATTCATAATAAGACATTTAAAAATACGAAAAGAGGGGCACCTGGATGGAGACAGTTAAGCATCTGACTCTTGATCTCAGCTCAGGTCTTGATCTCAGGGTCATGAGTTCAGGCTCCATGTTGGGCTCCATCCATGCTGGGCATGGACCTACTTAAAAAAAATAAATAGGGGTGCCTGGGTGGCTCAGTTGGTTGAGCATCCTGCACTTGATTTCAGCTGAGGTCGTGACCTCCAGGCTGTGGATGGGGCCTGCATTGAGCTCTGTGCTGGCGGGGGAGGGGGGGTAGGGAGTTGGGGAGTCTGCTTCCCCTCTCCCTCTGCCCCTCCTCCCCACTCACGTGCATGGTTACATTCTCTCTCTCTCTCTCAAATAAATAAATCTCTTAAAAGATACATGAATCTTTTAAAAAAATAAAAATATGAAAAGAATGTGCTTAGTCAACGTAATGGGATATTTTCCTCAATATCAAGGCATTCTGTAAACAGTAATATTAAATAATGTAGTGCAGGTGCAGGAATGAAATCAGTGGGAACAGGATAGAAAATAGTAAAAACAGACCTTCTTCATGTGGGAATTTAGTACATAAAAAGATAATTTTCAAATAAGTAGGAAAATGATGGACTATCGGTAAAAGGACATTGAGAAAATTGGCTCTCCACTTAGGAAAATGAGATAAAATCCTTCTAACTGATAATATTCCTTCACTAACATACAGTGTAGGTGACTTTAAGAGCTGAATGGGAAAATAAAACCAGAAAAATAGGAGAGGAAAATGGGTTTAGAGCCCTGGAATATAGAAGACCTTAAACATGACTTAAAGAGAAAAGCCTTGGAGAGCCTGCCTGGCTCCGTTAGTAGAACATGAGACTCTTGTTCTTGGGGTCGTGAGTTCAAGCCCCACCTTGGGTGTGGAGCCTGCTTAGAGGGAGAGATAGACAAAAGCCAAAATGGAAGTGGTTGAAGATTTTGGTGATATCAAAATTTTAAATATTCCCATGGCCTCAGATAACCTTGAAGTTAGACAAGCAAAAGACTAAGTAACTGAAAAATACGTAACAAGGGACTAAGTCTAAATTTGTAAAGAATGGAGAAGTGGGAAACCTCAGGGATAGGGGTAATACAGCAAAAAGGAAATAAAAGAAGGTGCTAGGTTTGTGGGTTTTTTTCCCTATCAGATTGGCAAACAGGAAAAAGGTTACTGATAAACGTTGGCGAGGCTGTGGGGAAATGAGTACTCAACATTCCATGATGGTGGGGGTGTAAATTGGAACAGTTACTTTGGAGAGCAATTTGGCAATCTTTACTAAAATAACGTGCACACCCAGCGTGTTTGGGAATTTTACCAAATTGATGAGACACTAGTGGGGGGCGGGGGAGGAATCAGTTCCAGAATACAGGGTTTTAAGATGCATGTATCTGATAATGATATTATTACAGATAAAAGGTTTAAAGAATTGGCACCAAATCCCATTCACAACATCCCCCAAAACACATAATACTCGGAAGTCAATTCAGAATGATTGATCTATTGTAAAGGTATCCATTTGCCACTGGCAGAATGAGGCATTTGGAATCAGAATCCCAGCAGGGAGTTCATTAGTTTTGGTTTTTGTTTTCTCCCCCTAGAACAAAACATATTATTGTGAAATGTAAGGTTGACATAGGAGTGGGTAATAGGCAGGATATGAAACAGTGTCCTGGAAAAGAAGTGAAGTAGAAAGACCAGCCCTGGCAGGTAGAACCATGTGTATAACACAGGGGCAGATGAAGGATGGCATCGTCAGTAGTGGATTGGGTGAACTTGTGAAGACAAGTCTTTGCTCTGGGGGATGACGGGGTCCTGCCCTGCAGCAGGACTGGGTTCCTGTGTCACACGGCTTTAGCCAACTTGAGTTCTGTTAGATGAGCTGCTCCACCTCCCAAGTTTCTCCTCCTCTCCCTCAGTCTGTTGGTTTGTTTTTGCCATTTCTCTGCAGGTCCAAGCTTTGTCCTGTGCCAGTAAGTTTGAGGCTGAGCTAAAAGCCGAGCAAGATGAGCGGAAGCGGGAGGAGGAGAAGAGGAGGCTCCGCCAAGCTGCCTTCCGGGAGCTCAAGGCTGCTTTCAGCACATAGTCAAGTAACCTTGACCTCCATCCACACAGTGCCTCACAGATGCCCCTGAGAGAGCTGGCTGGGCACCCTCACCCCTGCCGCTCCCACCCCTACCCAGCCTCCACACCCACCACCCGGTGTAAACTCCGCAGCCTCTTGGTGGGGCAGGGGAGGCTCTCGTCCCTGTGTGAGAGGGGCTCCCACAGGGTCCCAGGGTCCTGGGATGAGCCAACTGGCCCCCTTGCTTCTCTTTCCTGCCCTCCTTCCTATGTAGTCAGAATGTGCCTCTACTTGGCAGTTTGTACTTTTTCCTTCTCCCTTTGCCGCTCTGCATCAGAGAGTGTTAATTTGTGCAGATATTTCTTTCTTTGATGGTCCTCAGAGGAGATAGTCCCTGGAGGGCTCTGATGTTAATGTTGCCCCCATTTTCTTGGGTGATTCTCTGCCCCTCTCCTCTCTGGGTCCCCCCCGACCCTCGCTTTGTTTCTTATCCAACTTCTCTGTTTCCATTCTGAGCCTGATTCTGCCAGTTGCTTTTTGCATCTTCTGTCTTTTGATGATGGTGAGGTTGAAGGCAAGCCAGGCTGGACCACTGCCTGTCCCCTCTTCAACAGGGGGAGTGGCCTGCTGCTGAGCTGACAAAACAGTAGAAAAATAGAATATTCTGTTCCTTCCTATCACCTTTCTCCTGTCTCTTAGCATTCCCCGCGGACTCACCCTCTTCAGTCCCCCTCCCTTCATGTCTTCTCATTTCAGCCTTTCCTTGTACTCTTAAATACTGTGCAACTTACCTGTAAGAATAAGACAATAATCAGAAGTGATATTAATGCGTAGAAGAATCTCTGTTAAGTCTGACTATGCAAATTCTAATCCAGCAGACCCCTACATTCCCAAGTGACAAATCCAGAGCTTTTCAAAATCCCCAAAGTCATGACCGTCCTCATCTGGCCAGTTTCCAGCTTTTGCTCCCAAGATGTTGAGGTGATGCTGTTCTTACCCCCAAGTGCACATTTTCATGTTAGGTGTTTTTGGGTTGGCTCGTAAATACCAGGGTTTTACAAATACTTCCTAGCGTCATATTTATTACTTCTCCTTTCTAACTGCTGTCTTTACCACAGGAAAACATCTGCATTTCTACTTTACAGCTGTCTCTTTTTAAATAAACTGTGCAAGTGGACTTTGCCATCACAGCTATGTGCTTCTAGTCTTCTTCGATTTGGAGGGAGAGAGGAGGGCACTTTTTGCAGGGGCCACATCCAGCCCAGGCTCCTGTTTGACATCGACTCTTGGAAGTAGAGTTAGAAGTGGTAACGAGAGGGATGCCTGGGTGGCTCAGGGGGTTAAGCATCTGCCTCCTGCTCAGGTCATGATCCCAGGGTCCTGGGATTGATTCCCGCTTTGGGCTCCTTGCTCAGTGGGGAGCCTACTTCTCCCTCTGCTTGCCACTTCCCCCGCTTGTGCTCTCTGTTCAATCACTCGCTCGCTCTCTCTGACAAATAATGAAATCTTTTTTTAAAAAGGAGAAAAGGAGTGGTAACTAGAGGGTCAGCTTTCCTCAGGGGCATTCTACGTATTGAGGTTGTGAGTCTGCCGCTCTTCCCCGTCTCATCACTGAGGACTCTCTCAGCCATAGGTAAAATCCAAAGCTTAATTTCTTTTGCTTCCTAGACCCCTTGAAACTCTGATGAGGGCCAATGAGCCCTCCCACCTTCCTATGTAGATTCTGGGGCATTTAGGGACCTGAGTAAGAACCTCTCTCCAAAGACAACACCCATAGCTCCCCAGGGAGGATCATTGCGGTTTTTTTTTTTTTTTAAGATTTTATTTATTTATTTGATGGACAGAGATCACAAGTAGGCAGAGAGGCAGGCAGAGAGAGAGGAAGGGAAGGAGGCTCCCTGCTGAGCAGAGAGCCTGATGTGGGGCTCGATCCCAGGACCCTGGGATCATGACCTGAGCCAAAGGCAGAGGCTTTAACCCACTGAGCCACCCACGCGCCCCATCATTGTGGTTTTTGCCCAAAACCAAGACCTATGATTCTTTGGCATCATTTTTCCAGGTAGGGTCACCCTCCAGCCTCCCTACCCGAGGAAGTGGACATGAGAAAGAGATGGAGACACTCTGACCATAACAATCCAGGAAGCGTGCTTCTTGGCATTTTCTCAAACAAGCTGAGAACCTTTCTCTGTCTACACAAAAGCCTGCCCATGAATGTTTTTAGCAGCTATTTCTTAAAACTTGGGAGCAGCCAAAATGCTTTCCAGTAGGTGAATGGATAAGCTGGTCCATCAGTACAATGAGATATTAATTCAGACGTGAAAAGAAATACTAGCAATGAAAAAAACTGAGCTGTCAAGTCACAGAACGATGGAGGAAACTTAAAATGCATAGTGCTAAGTGAAAGAAGCCAGTTTGGGAAGTTTACACATGGTATGATTCCAACTATGACATCTGGAAAAGGAAACTACGAAAACTGAAGTTAAAAAGTCGGTTTGAGGGACACCTGGGTGGCCCAGTGGGTTAAAGCCTCTGCCTTTGGCTCAGGTCATGATCCCGGGGTGCTGGGATCAAGCCCCGCGTTGGGCTCTCCACTCGGCAGGGACCCTGCTTCCCTTCCTCTCTCTGCCTGCCTCTCTGCCTTCTTGTCATCTCTGTCAAGTAAATAAATAAAATCTTAAAAAAAAAAAAAGTCTGCTTGAGAGGGAAAGGGGGCAGGATGAATAGATGGAACACGGGGGATTTTAGTGGTCTTGTAGTGTTCCTGTAGAGGTTGTTACACATTTGTCAAAACACAATGCACAACACTAAAAAGCATGCCCTAATATAAACTATGGGTTTCACTTGATGATAAGATATTATTACAGGCACACCAGCTGTAACAAACATAGCACACTAATGCCAGGTGTTAGTAATGGGAAGGGGGAGGTGCAGGGAGAGAGATATGGGAAGTTTACTTTCTCCCAAGTTCTGCAAATCTGAAACTGCGCCTGGGTGGCTCGGTGGGTTGAGTGATTGCCTTCAGCTCAGGTATGATCTCAGGGTCCTGGTGATCGAGTCCCGGTTCATTATAATTACTTCAAACATCCATTGGCCTCTCTGGACAGCTAGGCCCATGCAAGAGCTAAAAACTTGTGACTGCAAATGATAGAAAATGTAACAGAGAAGAACTGAAGACAAAAAGAACAAATAAGGGGCGTTTGGTGGCTCAGTCGTTGGGCGTCTGCCTTCGGCTCAGGTCATGTTCCCAGGGTCCTGGGATTGAGCCCCACATCTGGCTCCCTGATCCTCGGGAGGTGGGCTTCTCCCTCTCCCACTCCCCCTGCTTGTGTTCCTCTAGCTCTCTCTCTCTCTCTCTCTCTCTGTGTCAAATAAATAAAATCTTAAAAAAAAAAAAAAAGGACATATAATTGGACTAGGTAGCTGGAGACCAGGGGTAGGACTTCTTTGCCCCACCTTGATCACAGAGTTCTCTAGATGTTGTTCTCTTCATGCCTCTCGCCCACAGCTCCCACTCTTCCCCTCTGTGGCCATGACCATGGCCTTCATTGGTTTTTGTTCTGGGTCTCTGCCATGGCCTCCTGGCTGCTTTCCCTGCCCCCATTTGCCCAGACGGGCCACTCTGCAGTTAGGATAACATTGGTTTCTAACATCTTTGCTTCAATTTTTGCTTCCCCCACTTTTGGGATCTAGTCCCTACTCACCTGTCCTGTGCCATCGCTTACCCCTCCTCCCTCCCATCTCCTTCCAAACCGCTCTCCAGGTACACAGGATACCTAGTGGTTCCTAGAAAGTGGGGTTCCTGAGAGCTATGCACGACTATTTCCTCCACCTGGCACTCCCTCCCTCCCTTCCCCTGGCAAAGGACTCATTGTTGATGACTCAGCTCAGGGATTATCTTCAGGAAGCTTTCCTGATGGCCCAGGCTAGGTGAGATGCCCCTTGGGGTTTGTTTCATTTTTCCCTAGTGTACTCTTTATGACATTATGCAATACCCTTCTCTTCACTTCCCTTTCTCTTTGGACAATGAACTTGAAGGACAGGAACTCTGCCTTACCCACCGAGGTAGACCTAGCCTGCTGCCCGGCCTGTGACAGGCTCCTCTGCCTATTTGTTTCACAAGGACAAAGCGGGTTTGTCGCAGCAGAGATGGGTAAGGAGGACCTCTATCACCGATTCAGGGACCTTCTAAACACCCTGACCTGGGAGCCTGGCCTGAGGGAAGAGCTCTGAAAGTGAGGATAGTGGAGATGGTGGGGACATCCTTCTCAATGGAAAAGTGATGAGTCTACTCCCCAAAGGCCCTCCTTTGACTGAGCAATAGGGAAACCAACAAATCGACAAACCAGTTCTGCCTCTGCCCTGGGGGCTATGTGATGTAATGGGATTTGGAGTCAGATGGAAGCTAGTAGTTTAGCTTCTCTGATCCTCAGTCCTCCCCCTGTGAAATCCAGATGATGATCATTGACCTGGCCGATTCCAAGCCTTGTACTTATCAGGGCCCAGGATGTGATTGGCTCCCTCTCTATCTTCCACCTCATACAACTGCAATCCTGTTTCCTCCTGAGTCTTGGGCAAAGGATCCCAGGCCAGTGTGCCCAGTTCTGGTTGCTACCTTGGCCCCAAGCACAAGTGCCCTCTTTCTCGCTTCTCTGTTCTTTTGAGGCTCCTGACCCCTCTAGCCCAGGGAGATGCCTGCTCACCTGCCACGCCCCCTGCAGCTGCCACTTGCTGAGCCCTCCAGGCTGGATTGCTGGATCACATGACCCGACATCTGTGGCCTTGCCCCTGCTCAGATTTCTGCCTGCTGACCTTGCCTGCCCACCAGACCAGATTCTGGCCACATCTCTGCCTGCGGGGCTGAATTATAGCAACAGTGGTTCCATAGACATCCCCAGGGTCCTGTGCTGGTGAGGGGTCCTGGGGGGCAACTTAGGGTTCTACAACTTAGGGAAGTGCTAAGGATAGACCTTTTCAGGGGTCAGTTTCCCCTCCCCTGCATCCTTCCTGAAACCAGTCACTTTCCGTACTCTGTCTCATGGGATTGGTAGAGGTGCACAGCTGCTCTTGCCTTCTTGAAAGGCAATTTGGTAGACCGTTAACACTGAAAATTTTAGGAGCACCTGGGTGGCTCAGTCAGTGAACTGTCTGCCCTCAGCCCAGGTCATGATCCCAGCGTCCTGGAATCAGGCCGAATGTTATCTGCTTCTCTCTCTCTCTCTCTCTCTGCCTGCTGCTCTGCATACTTGTGCTATCTCTCTCTGTCAAATAAATAAATAAATAAATCTTTTAAAAAAACCCTTAAAATTGTGTTTATCTTTGCTTTAATGAATCATTCCATAACTTAGCAGCTTAACACAGTAATTAACATTTACCATCTCATGCAGTCTCTGAGGGTCAGGAATTCAGAGGCAGTTTACCAGGTGGTTGGAGCTCAGCATCTCTCTTGAGGCTGCAAAACATCAGTGGGAGGGGCAGTCATCCGAAGGCTCACGAGGGGCTGGAGGATCCCCTTTCGAGGGGGCTCCATCATACGGTTCCCAAGATGCTGCTACCTGTTGGCCAGAGGACTGAGTCACT